GATTAAAATAATGTTGTTGGGAGTGATTGTTATGGGGATGATGTAAATGAATGAAAAAAATGTTAATAGAATGAAAATGTGCATATATCCATTGTTTATATATAATAGAAATGTAAATGAATGAAATGAAGTTTTAATAATTTTAACACAGAATCTTAGTTCGAAACTATGCTTTATCGGGTAAAGTTTAAGCTTATCAAAGAGCTAGTAAAGATTATGATAAGAACAACTCTAAGTTGTAAAAAATCGTTTCAAAACAACTTTTCACTCACTTCCCTACATCCAACTTAGAAACTACCCACTAAGCTCCCTCGAAAGAGGCGGCAATGGCACGGCCGGTTAAGAGGCAACAAGTAGCACAAGGAGCACAAGGAGCACAAGGAGCACAAGATGACATTAAGGAGGAATACCTTTTGGCTTTCATTCTGAAGGAGAAATATAAAGAAAAACAACAATGCAAACAAGAACTCGAGAAATATTGTAAAGAGTTGAAGGAAGCAGATGAGAATTTCAAAGTGAATAAAAAAGTTAAAGGACTATGTGAAGAGAAAGATAAAAAATGCACAGACCTGAAAGTTGAAGATGAATTGGACACTTTTGATGCGGAACTTGAAGGAGCATTGGCAGATATAAAAGATGAAGAATGTGAAAAATATGAAGAAAAATGTATACTTTTAGAAGAGACGGATCATGAAGATATTAAGAAGAACTGTGTCAAGTTGAGGGAAGAATGTTACAAATTGAAGCGTGAAAAGGTGGCAGAGGAGCTCCTTTTGAGGGCGCTCGGAAAGGAAGCTAAAGAAGAAGCTAAATGTAAAGAAAAGATAAAAAATGTTTGCTCAGTGTTAAGCCGAGAAAGCGACGAGTTGATGTCTTTTTGCCTTGATCCAACTAAAACATGTGAAACGTTGAAAAAAAAATCAGAAGAAGTTTGCAACCTTTTGAAAACAAAATTGGATGGGAAAAGTTCAGAAAAGTGTCATGAAAGACTTGAGAAATGTCATTTTTACAAAGAAGCGTGTACTGAAACAAAGTGTGATGAGGATATGAAGCAATGCGAGGCAAAAAAAATCACATATAAAGCGCCGGAATCTGATTTTAGTCCGGTGAAACCGAAGGCGTCGTTGTTGAGAAGTATTGGGTTGGAAGATGTTTATAAAAGAGCTGAAAAAGAAGGAATTCTTATTGGAAAAGTAGGCGTGGATCTACCAAGAAGGTTTGGTGATGATTTTCTGCAAGATCTCTTGCTAGTGTTGAGCCAAGATGAGGATAAGACGGATGCAACAAGTAAATGCACTAAAGCGTTAGGAAAATGTGATGCTTCTAAGCATTTGGATGATGATTTGAAAAAGTTATGCGAAGATGGTGATAATGATAAACAAAAGAAATGCAAAGAATTACTAGATGTAAATGTAAAAGAAAGATGTACACATCTCAAATTAAATCTTTATCTGAAAGATTTGTCTACAAAATATGATAATCAAAAATCAGAACTTTTATTCTGGAGAGAACTGCCAACCTTATTTACAAAGGGAGAGTGTGCAGAACTTGAGTCGGAATGTTTTTATTTAAAAAAGGCGTGTAAAGATAAGGAGATTGATGAAGCATGTCAAAATGCACGAGCAGCGTGCTATAAAAAAGGACAATATAGGATGTTGAATATGCTCTTTCGAGAGGGGTTGAAGGGGAATTCTGAACATATAAGAAATTATAATATTCCTGAAGAATGCAAAAAATTTGTTGCAGAAGAGTGTAAAAAACTTGATAAAAAATACCTTCCAAAATGTCTTTATCCTAAAGAATTATGTTATCTGCTTTCAGATGATGTTTTCCTTCAATCCAAAGAGTTAGGTGTGCTTTTGGATGATCGGAGAGATTTTCCATTTGAAAAGGATTGTCTTGAGTTGGAGGAGAAGTGTGGTGAACTTGAAACTTATTCATATTTCAATTCTCAAAAGTGTATAACATTGAGAAGGCGCTGTGAATACATTAGAGTTTCAGAGGGATTTAGAAATGTATTTTTAGAAAGAAAAGATCATTCATTATATAATGAGCAAAATTGTACGGAGGTGTTGCAAGAAAAATGTAATACTTTATATAGGAGGAGAAAGAATCCATTTACTGTTTCATGTGCTTTAGCAGGAGAAACATGTGAATATATGGTAGGCCGTACAAAAGATGAATGTAGATATTTAAAAGTCAACATCAAAAATGAAGAAATTCTACAAGAAATTGGAAAAGCAAATGAAACAGCACTTGAAGAACTCTGGACAACATGGGGCCGACATTGTCACCAACTTATGGAGAATTGTCCGGAGCAGTTGAAAAAAGAAGGTGATAAAGATCATAACTGTGAAGAACTCGAAGAAAAATGCACTAAAACCTTTGAAAAGTTGAAATTAGAGGAGGAGCTGAGTCATATGTTGAAAGGAAGTTTAAAGAGTGAAGATGAATGTAAAAAAACATTAGGAGAGCGTTGCACTGAGTTGGAAAAGAATGATACATTCAAAATTCTGCTTACTAAGTGTGATGATACTACCAAGGGAAATGTTTGCGAAGAATTAGTTGAAAAACTAAAAAAGAGATGTCCAACTTTAAAAGACGATATGGAGAATGCGAAAAAAGAGTTGACAAAGATGAAGAATGAGTACGATGAGCTCAAAAAGGCGGCAGAAAAATCTACAGAGGCAGCTAAGTTATTACTATCAAGGCCTAAAAAAGCCGTAACACCAAGTGGACAGGATAGCAGTGATTCTACACCACCATCAGCACCAGCAGGATCAGGGTCGTCATCACCAGCATCACCACCACAAAATGGAACATCAGATACATCAAGTGGAACGCCAAGCACAGAAGGTGGAAAGCCAGGTGCACCAGATGGAACGACGAACACATCAGGCACACCAAGTGGAACCCAAGACACAGCAGGTGGAATGACGAACAATCCAAGCCTTGGACTCGTTAAAAGAGCGTATGTAGCCGAAGGCGTATCAGAAGCAGAGGTCAAAGCATTTGATGCAACGACGATAGCAATGGAGTTGTATTTGGAATTGAAAGAGGAATGCAGCGCTTTACAACTAGATTGCAGTTTTAGAGATGATTGTTCAGATCTTCAAGTTTGTGGAGAAATAGACACGTTATGCGGAGGAATAAAACCATTAAAAGTTACGCCTCATCATACAGAGACACAAAAAGAAACCTCAACCACTACGACGACCACTACGACGACCACTACCACAACTACTACCACGACTACGACGACAACTACTACTACAACCAAGCCGGGAAGTGGAGGAAAAGTAACAGAAGAGTGTACAATGATACAGACGACAGATACATGGGTGACGAGTACGTCATTGCATACGAGTACGACAACGAGTACATCGACAGTGACGTCTACAGTGACGTTGACGTCGATGCGCAAGTGCAAGCCTACCAAATGTACCACCGATTCAACCAAAGAGACAGAAGAAGGAGGAAAAGAAGGAGAAGAAGATGTAAAACCGAATGAGGGAATGAAAATAAGAGTTCCTGATATGATTAAAATAATGTTGTTGGGAGTGATTGTTATGGGGATGATGTAAAATGAATGAAAAAAATGTTAATAGAATGAAAATGTGCATATATCCATTGTTTATATATAATATAGATGTAAATGAATGAAATGAAGTTTTAATAATTTTAACACAGAAT